AAAAAATCCCTTGCAAGGTAGGAAGGAAACCTCTGAAACCACTGGATGTGGAGGGTGGTGATACATTCTCACTGTCTTGCACTAGATCCTCCGAGGAGAATTATCAATCAGGTTGCCCCAAGTTCTTAAATGCAACTCTCACAGATGGTGGACACTTTTGCTAATCTTCATGCTACCAAATTTATTTTTTCCAAGGTTTTTATTTAAATTCCAGTTAGTAAACATACAGTGTAATATAAGTTTCAGGTGTAGAATTTAGTGATTCAACACTGACATATAACTCCCAGTGCTTACCACAAGTGCACTCCTCAAGTCTCATCGCCTATTGAACCCCTGCCCCACCTCCCACATTCCCTCTAGTAACCATCAGTTTGTTCTCTATAGTTAGGAGTCTATTTCTTGGTTTTTCTCTCCCCAATATTCATTGGTTTTGTTTCTTAAATTCCACACATGAGTGAAATCATATGGTTTTTGTCTTTCTCTGATTGAATTTAGAAATAGTCCAGAAATGGGTACAACTGGGAAGAGCGAGGGGCCATTCTGGTGTCTCCTAATGTCACTCTCCTTTTAGAATATGTTATTGCATTGTACCACCCAGTATCTGCCAATGTAACCCACTGTTAGGGAAGGATTGCAGGTCCTAGGCCAGTAGGCCATGCAGGAGATTTCCTTCCCTCTGGGATATTACTGGCTCCATGGTCAATAGAGCTGACTTGGGACCCATGTTGTAGTCATTACTCAGTTATGATTTGACCTTTGTATTGCATCTCCCAGTAATGGCCTTGTTCAACTCCACAGAATGCTTATGTTTATCAGTAAGGAGGACAGTCAACGACTGCTCAACCCTGGCTATATGTGACACATTCTGGCCAGTATACTGTGCCCATGAGGGGATCTTTCGCCTCCATTCTCAAGAAAGTGATACCCGCACTCTGCAGAAAGTTCACCTAACCATTTGGCTTTCCAGTATTCCCTTCCAAGACTCTGTGTCTATTATTTGTTCTGGATACAAAGGAGTCACCTTTCTATGGGGCAGGAGTCATAGCCCTCCTCAACTTCATTGTAGTCTCATCTTTGAAATTCCAAGAACTACTTAAGTCATAGAGATACGGAGATGCATAAAAAATAGTACCTGCCTCCAAGGAGCTTACCTATTAGTAGGAAATGTAGACTATAAACAGGTGACACAAAACAATGATATATATAATGAAAATATGCATAGGGTTACAAAAAAAATCTATTTCCCAAGCACTGAGTGAGTGAGATTTGAGTCTATTTTGTGTAAGAAACTCCATATCAAACAACCACACAATGAAGTTGTTGCAAAAGATAATACAGTCTTAGGTTGCATTAGTAGAAATAGAATTCAGCAGGAAGAAAGGGAAATACTGGACTAGGAGTCAGCAGCTCTGAGCCTCTGTTCAGGCTACACATCTGACTGTTTAATTTCATCAAATTCTCATTCTCCATTTCCTCATCTGTATAAAGTAACAAAAAGTCTAGCTTGCCTCCTTCTTGGGGAAATAGTAAGAATCAAATGGGCTAGAAGAGGCTCTAACAGTCAGCAAATCTATTGTCTATTGACCATCAAAGCCCTTTATGAAGTGACCTCAGATATCTTCCAGCCTATACTTGAACATCTCCAGAGCAGGAAATTCACCATTTTGAAAGACTTTTGTTTCCTCTTTGCCAGATTCTAACAATAGTCTTTTTCATGTAGGAGCAACCATTTCTCCGGATACGATAACCATTTTGTTAATTACTTTGATTGATTAACAAAAATTAATTTATATATTCTTCTCTATAAACACACAGAGAATAGCAGTAGTAGCTCTGCCAGCTGAGAAAATACAGCAAAAAGCAACTAGAATTTTCTAATAAATTGATATTTTATTTAAAATCTATATTAAAAAACTAACAAAATCATGTTTGAAACATGTCATTAATCACACAAAGTTTAGTGTGCAAACTCCCCCAGCACCCATGATTCTTCCTTAGCTATCCAAGGATTTCAGATCCTCAGTTTTGGAAGAATAATAATGGCTACAATGTATTAAATACCTAAAATGTGCTAAGTGCAGTGCAAGGTGTTTTACACAGGTGATGTCATTTCACCCTCACAATGACCCTATAAGAACTATTATTATGCAGAGGTTATGAGTGAAGAAACTGAAGCCAACAGGTAGAATAACTTGTCTAATGTACATATCTAGTAAGAAGGAGAACCAGGATTGGAATCCACATCTACGGTTCTGGAGCCCACTTTGGTCCTCTGTTCTGTCCCATCGGAACCACTATGCCAGGCAGGTGTGGTTGTATGCCACATTGCTCTATGCAATTGACTGGCAGTATTTTTGCCAGTTGTGTCCCTCTTTGTGAATAAACTGGCATTCTAACCTAGACTGACCACATGGGCCAGTCTCTCACTGTTCTTTTACGTAGTGGCTCTTTAGCTATGCATGTTAGAAATGAAAAAATAAACCTGCCATTGTTCTCAGATGATATGATTTACTACATAGGAAATAAAACAAAAGCATAGAAAATTATGTAAACTAATAAGCATGCTTAATAATGTTGCTGGACTCAAATGTTTATATAAAAATTAATTGCATTTGTATACACAAGCAATAAACAGAAAATGCAGCTTAAATAATACCATTTAAAATAGAGACAAAATATATATGGTACCTTGGAATACACCTTTTTCAAATGATGTGAAAAACCATTATAGAGAAAATTACTTTATTAACAGATGTTTAAAAGGATGTAAATATTTTTAAATGTTTATTTCTTTTGAGAGAGAAAGAGAATGGGTATGTGTGCAAGCAGGGGTGGGGGGCTGCTGGGCAGAGAGAGAGGGAGAGAGAGAATCCCAAGCAGGCTCTGCACTGTCAGCACAGAGCCCAATGTGGGGCTCGATCCTTGAACTGTGAGAGATCATGACCTGAGCCCAAATCAAGAATCAAATGCTTAACCAACTGAGCCACCCAGGCACCCCAAAAGATGTAAATAATTTGAGAGGCAACCCATATTCATGGATAGAAAGACAGAAAATCTCCATTTTCCTCAATGTTATTCCGTGTAATTCTGATCAAAATTCCAATGACGTTTCTCATGAAATTTGACAAGTGAATTATAAAATTGAAGTAGGAACATAAAGAGCCATGATGACTAAGACATTCCTGAGGATATAAGAGCAGTGTATGTAATAGGAGGTGGGACTGGTGGTGTGAGATGTGACCAGATAATATTACATGTGACAGGTCTGAGTTATGATAGAAGTGGTTTTTTAGGTAAGTGTAAGAAAGATGGGTTATTCGGGGTGCCTGGGTGGCTTAGTCGGTAAAGCGTCCGACTTTTGCTTAGGTCATGATCTCGCGGTTCGTGGGTTCAAGCCCCGCGTCGGGCTCTGTGCTGACTGCCAGCTCAGAGCCTGGAGCCTGTTTCAGAGTCTGTGACTCCCTCTCTCTCTGACCCTCCCCTGCTCACGCTGTCTCTCTCTCTCTCTCTCCTAGAAATAAATAAAAATTTAAAAAAAATTTAAAAAAAAAGGAAGATGGATTATTCATAAATGATACTGGGACGACTAGTTACAGAACAAAATAAAATTAATCCATACACTATATGCAAAAACAAATTTGATGAATTAAGGACTTCAATTTAAAGGCAACATTAAGAAGTTTAGAAGAAAATATAAAAGAATATTTCTATTCTCAGGGTAGGGAGGGATTTTTTGTTTTCAAATAAGATACACATATACACAAAAGTAAGCCATAAAGGAAAAGTTGTATATATTTGACTACCTTACAACTGAGAACTTTTTAAAATCATAAGACATCATAAGGAAAGTGAAAAGACAAGACTTTGAAGGTGGAGAGACTGTATAAGCAAAGGTGCACAAGACATGTTTGGGGACAACAAAACAGACCATTTTGGCTAAAATGGAAATTTTTGACAGGATGATGGTGTGGATAATGTTTAGAGAGATTGATTGAAATTAATTTTAAACATAAAATTCTAGGGGCGCCTGGGTGGCTTAGTCGGTTAAGCGTCTGACTTTCGCTTAGGTCATGATCTCGCAGTTCGTGGGTTCGAGCCCCGCGTCGGGCTCTGTGCTGACTGCCAGCTCAGAGCCTGGAGCCTGTTTCAGAGTCTGTGTCTCCCTCTCTCTCTGACCCTCCCCTGCTCACGCTGTCTCTCTCTCTCTCTCCTAGAAATAAATAAAACATTAAAAAACATTAAAAAAAACACATAAAATTCTAGACATAATAGAGACATAAAAAGAGATTCCTTCCAATACCATCACCATCATCTCTACCCACTGGCAATGCAAACTATTTTTTAACATCTTCTGGATGTAATTTGGAACTATGGAGCACCAATGAGTTCTTGTTGACCTTCAATGGGGACCTTTTGGAAATCACACATTCTTAGATAAAAGTATCATATAATCATGACTTAAAGTCATTCCTAAGAACAGGTGTGGGTAACGTGTTCAGAAAGTAGCACCTAAAGATGGAAAGTTTGTACTGATTGTACAAATTATACATGAATAATTCCATGAGGAAAAAAGGTTTTAAAGCAGCTAATAACTTCTAAGGGTTTTTATTATTTACTTTTCAATAAAGACACACTTTGATGCCAAGCACGAAATGTCCACATCATAAAAACGTAACCAGAATGTTTAAACAGATGCTTATCAGCCCTGGGAACTGCCATTAAAGCCATTAAGCAGTGGTTTCCATTGTGATGGTCTCCACCACCTTATTAGGGGTCATAGCATTACTTTGTTGTTACTGAGCAGAGAAAGTGGTGGTAGTGAGAGAGTGTAGGTTGGAGGTCTAAGGTTTGTAGGAGAGGATATCTGTTGATTTATTGATTAGCTATATACACATCTGAGTTCATCGTTGTCCACTTGGACGCCCTCATGATACCTGGGACTCGGATGGTATAAAAAGCAAATCCAGGCTCTCTCTGTCAGACCAGTACCAACAACAGCCATGGCAAAGCTTATTCTCCTCACAGGTGAGTCTGCAGTCAGAGATGGAGCCTTACTCTTACCTGATCCCTTTTTCTCTCTGGATCTGACAGCCTTTGCATTGCGCCTTTAGGCTCTTCTATTCTTTGTTCATCATTTCAAGTTTCCAAGAGAATCCTGACATACACAAATCATAGTCTCTTAATTTCAGTTGACTCTAGTAACATTTCTACCTTCACTGATACCATGGACATGTTCCTAAAAGAAAGGCTTGTTTCCTTCATGCTTGTCTTACTCTCTTGTCCCTTATCAATGGTTTCTTGTTCTCCATTCATTTTCCTGCACCACGTCATTTTAATTGCTATTATTTTTATTTACATGCTTGCATCCTAGGTCTTACTTTTCCAGAGATGAAAATTAGTAGGAACTGAGATAGAATTATGCAAGTTTTCTTTGTTCTACTGTTTTCAGGGTTACTTCTCTTTTATCCCCTACTATCCTGCTGAGATGCTAATATATCATAAAAATGTCCGCTAGAAATTCAGTTATTTAAAGGGGTTAAGTGAGTAAATTGTTTAGAGCCATGCTATAGCCATAGTTTATTAGTTGTTCTAGAGCTTTTCATAGTTTCAGAACTTTTCTGAATGAAAACTGTAGCTCAATGACGTCAGAAGTGCTCTGGTGGAATCAGGAAGAGGCATCTGGAGTCTTGCCTCACAGTTCATGATTCTTTTCTTCTACCGTAAGGGCTCCTAAAAGGTGGTTCCAAAAAAAAAAAGAAGAAAAGAAAAAAAAGAAAAGAAAAGAAAAATCCAAGCTCCAGGAGATAATGAATTTATTGCTTTAGAGGATGTCTTGTCTGTGGAAGGCTGTCCTCATCCCAGTTCAGGGAAGTGAAGCATGGATGGACGTGTACATACTTATTGAGTAGAGTACATTCTGAGTAATTTTAGTAAGTACATCTTCCACAGACAGTAGACTTTGAATTCTGCATTCAGTAACATTTATTGCTGACATGGAAGGTGGAAGAAGAGAGTGCCATGGCCATTTCTGACTAAGAGGAGGGAAGTGTCAATCTATTGGTGCCTTCACTGAAAAGCCTACTCTTCAGCATAATCCATAAATGCCACTGGGCTATAACAAGTTATGGCAAATAAGATGGCACCCAGGCCTTAGAATTAGATTCTACAGGATACAGACAATTGGTTCAGAATATATGTATTTTCTTTCACTATAGGTCTGGCCCTTCTGCTGAATGCTCAGCTAGGTAAGTCATGAACTCTGTCTTTTATCTCTGAGACAACCTTTTCCTACCATAAAACACAAATCTTTATAAATTAGTAATAATGCAATTGTCGATTAATGTATTTTTTAAGTAAATCAAGAGATAAGTCATATAAGGGAAAGGAAGCTACTGTCTACTTCATAGATAGATGGGTTGACATTGGGAGAAACTGTTGTTTTGAACTGCTGTCACTGCTATTCTCTTTAGCATGACCACTGGGTGTTATCAACTGGTATTCACTGGGCTTCACAGGACTACTGGACATCTTTCCATAAGTGGTTCTTAGGCTTAAGATCCCCAAATGAATCTGTAGAAGTTGAAAATAGCCAACTCCAAGTCAGTGACTAGTTCCCAAGTTAGAATCTTTGAACTCATCTACAAGGGTATTTATATTCGGCACCACCACACAGAGATCAGGCATTGAGGCAAAGGGAGGAAAACAGAGGTAAGACCAAAATTCACAGCGCATTTCAGGGGCACCTACATCAGGTCATCGTTTTCACTTCTTACTACTTCCAGGTTCTGCTTACCAGCTGACATGCTACTTCACTAACTGGGCCCAGTATCGGCCAGGCCTGGGGCGCTTCAAGCCTGATGACATTGACCCCTGCCTCTGTACTCACCTGATCTATGCGTTTGCTGGGATGCGGAACAACGAGATCACCACCATCGAATGGGATGATGTGACTTTCTATCAAGCTTTCAATGGCCTGAAAAACAAGTAAGAGCGGGGGAGATGTATAATTTGGTATCTATCTCCTAGGTCGGTGCTTCCCAAACATTAATGTGGAAACAAATCACCTGGGATCTTCTTTTTTTTTTTTTTTTAATATTTTTTTATTTATTTCTAGGAGAAAGAGAGAGAGAGAGAGACAGCGTGAGCAGGGGAGGGTCAGAGAGAGAGGGAGACAGACTCTGAAACAGGCTCCAGGCTCTGAGCTGGCAGTCAGCACAGAGCCCGACGCGGGGCTCGAACCCACGAACCACGAGATCATGACCTAAGCGAAAGTCGGACGCTTAACCGACTAAGCCACCCAGGCGCCCCTCACCTGGGATCTTCTTAAAATGAATTCAAGCACAGCAAGTCTGGGGTGGAGACCAAGATTCTACATTTCAAACAAGCTCCCAGAGGATGCTAATATTTCTGGTCCAGGAGCTATACTTTAAGCAGCAAGCATACAGATAACATATTGCCTTCTCTAGAAGGTATTCAAAATATATCAGCTCTGTTTCTTTGATTCCCTGTCAATATCTTTTTTTATGACCTAAGAAACTGCCAGCCATCTTAGCTACTCACATCAGAGAGCAGGAGGTGGGAGATACTGAAGATTAGATATCACTGAACTAGAAAAAGAAATCAAAGTGTCTGCTATATTTTAAAAGTTCCATTTGTGTAAAAATGAAGCAAAACAAAGAAACCATAACCCTAGTATCTTTTAATTTCTGATTTGCTCAATTTAGCTATTTCTAGGAGAAATAAGGCTAGAGGCCATTGCTACCATTAGTAGTGGTACTATCTTGAATGTAGCTACTAGAATTTAAATTATGATAAACAGGAAATAAACTCCTTTAGAGTGGTACTTCTTGAACTGTGATCCATTGACTATGAATCAAAATCACGAGGTACCTGATAAATATGCCAGTCCCTCTCCCAATCCAAATAAATCAGAGATTTCCAAATAAATCAGAATCTCTGAGAAAGAGGTTATAAACCCAGAATTTTAATGTTTTCCCATCCCAGTATAAACTGTTTGAGCACTGCTATTCCAGAAAATGTACATAATTTTAAGCAATTAATTTATATTCATCATCTTGGAGGCTGAGAAAGCAATTATGCTCAAGCAATATTTACCATTTCATCTGATGGAATAGAATATAATTTAATTATGCTTTTAAGTTTTATGTATATTACTGCTAATAGATTTCTAATTTTACAAAATCCAGCCCCATAATTTGGACTTCTCTAAAGAATTCCGAGTGCATTTATTTATTTATTTATTTTTTAAAATGTTTTATTTATTTCTAGGAGAGAGAGAGAGAGAGACAGCGTGAGCAGGGGAGGGTCAGAGAGGGAAGGAGTCACAGACTGAAACAGGCTCCAGGCTCTGAGCTGGCAGTCAGCACAGAGCCCGACGCGGGGCTCGAACCCACGAACCGCGAGATCATGACCTAAGCAAAAGTCGGACGCTTAACTGACTAAGCCACCCAGGCGCCCCAGAGTGCATTTTTTTAAATGTGTATTTTTGGGAGAGAGAGTGAGAGCAGAGGAGGGGTGAAAAGAGAGGGAGAGAGAGAATCCCAAGCAGGCTCGACACTGTCAGCAAGGAGCCCAATGCAGGACTTGAACCCATGAACTGTGAGATCATGACCTGAGCCAAAGTCAGATGCTCAACCAACTGAGCCACCCAGACATCCGTTGAGTGCATTTATGATAATAACACAATTTTTTTTGTCGTTGAAGTATAATTAACATAATTATGTTGGTTTCATGTGTGCAATATGATTCAATAATTCTATACATTACTCAGTGCTTATCATGATAAGTGTACCCTTGATGTCCTTTACCTATATCACCCATTGCCCCCTATATCCCTTCTGGCTACTACCATTTTATTCTCTATAGTTATGAGTCTGGAATTTTGTTTGTCTCTTTTTGCTGTTTGTTTGTCTTGTTTATTAAATACCACATATGTTTGAAGTCATAGGGTGTCATTCTCTGACTGACTTATTGCACTTAGTTTTATACTAAGTATTGAATAATAACAGTTTTTATAAAGAAAGTCTTTAATAGTGAAGGAAAACTACCTTATAGAATATCTTATCAAGGCAATGTCAAAGTATATGGCTAGGCTCAATACAAAAGCAATGCTATTTTAATTAGAAGGATTCATAGATTTTGAAGTTTCTCTTTTCCATCCTTTGCTTTACAGGAACAGCCAGCTGAAAACTCTCCTGGCCATTGGAGGCTGGAACTTTGGAACTGCCCCGTAAGTCCTCTGTGGTAGAGCCTAGTGCTCATTTGCTATTGAAAACAAGCTATGTTTCTTTAGACTTCACAATCTAAGACAGGGTATGAAGGACGCACATTAAACAAACAGGCTACTGGAATAAATTAGTCTACTAGAATCTCAATATTAAGGTAGAACACAATTTATTTTATACGTTTACATGTAGGTGGGTATTCTGGGATTCCATCCACAGAAGTTTCATTACTGAGATTTCAAAACAACCTCTTCTTAAAGTATTTCAAAAGCACAACCCCTGCAGAGAGAGTTATTGCATTTCTAGTTACTTTCTGGGGGAAGAGAAGAGAAAGCCATGCAAATAAACAAGAAGACCTCTCTGAAGGCATATGAACTTGGGAGGCTATCTGGAGAGACAGCACAGTGTGCTGGGGTAGCCAGGTGTTCAAAGCAACAAGTGCAACTTAGGTGAAAGATCAGAGTTGGGTGACAGAGTTGGGTGAGTCACAGAATAAATGGAGTGCTGAGATTCTGTGGCTGGTGGAGAACTGATTACAAAGGACAGGAGGAAGCCAGAGGCCTACTTACCTCTGGGCTGTGGGTCTCCGTGAAGAGCTCTGAGGGAGAAATATAAAAGTGCTATTTTACTGCAAGGTATTGGGACCACCAAGGCGTTCCCTCACCCTGTGTTCTTTGGGTCTCCCTCAGCTTCACTGCCATGGTTTCCACTCCTGAGAACCGCCAGACCTTCATTGCCTCAGTCATCAAATTCCTGCGCCAGTATGAGTTTGATGGGCTGGACTTTGACTGGGAGTACCCTGGTTCTCGTGGGAGCCCTCCTCAGGACAAGCATCTCTTCACCGTCCTGGTGCAGGTGAGGAGGGAAATGGCAATCTCTAGCCCAAAAAAATTCAAAGCCTTTTGTTTCCAAGGAGAATCGGGTGGTTCCCTAGTGCAACTAAACTGGAATTTAGGATTATAGAATCTTCACATCACGAAGACTTTTAGATATCATGCCTTCATTCAAAGCTTTTCATAATGACAACAAAAACACATGTGTGCTATGTGCCAGGCACCATGCTGCTTTATTCTACTCTTCTATTTTAAGAATTATGACTCGTTTCACCTGTAAATCTATTCTATTATCTAGGTAATATAGGTATCATCATCTTTATTTTACAGAGGAAACTAAGGTTTAGGTAACTTGCTGAATATGACACAACTAGTAGGTGTCATAACTACCCGTGCAGTCCAGCTACAGAGCCCACGGCTTCTAACCATTATACTATACCGTCTGTTATTACTGAACACTTACTCTGTCCCAGACACTGGGTTAGGTGTCAGATTGAAGATAAAAGTAAGATAACCCTTGGCTTTAAGGAATATGAGATGAGGTAGAAGGTCGAAAAATAACCAACAATTATAGTATGCTTCGGTAAAGCAGCACAGAGGCAACCTAATTCTGCTCTGGGGTAGGATCAAGAAGAGCCTCCTAGAGAAAGTGACACTTGAGCTCAGTCTTGAAAGCAACTAGTGTTGACAAGGAAGTGAAGATGGTAACTTAAGGATGATGACTGTGAGGCTGCACATGTGCAAGAATAAGATCCCAAGTGGGGCTAGTATATTATGTTAAGGAATTTGGACTTTAACTCTCAAGGCCATGGGGCAGCTCTGAAAGCTTTGAAAGAGAGAATGAAACTTGTGTTTTAGAAAGATAACTCTTGGCTCAACCATGGAGGACGAATTAGAAGGAGGTAGGAAGGCAGGGATACAGTTAGGCTGCTGCAGTAAGTCAAGCAAGAGATGCTGAGGGCCCAAACAAAGGTTCTAACAGGGAGGGAAGAAAGGGCAAGTATGCAAGGGTACAATCAATAGGATTTGGACACCAACTGGAAGTGAGAAAGAGAGGACTTCCAGTTTCTGAATTTAAGCACTGGTTTGTTGTCCTAGTAACTAAAACGTAACTACAAGAAGAGGAGATTTGAAACAAGAAGGACTCATGAATTTGTCTTTGAACACGAAAACTGAGAGGAGTCTGTAGGCCCTCCTACAGGAATGCCCAGTAGTTACTGAATGAATACCAATCTAGAGCTCAGGACAAAGAGCCTGACTTGATATACGGTATTGAAGTCATCAGCAAAGGCAGATAATTAAGAGATCACCAAAGAAAAATGAATGGAGTAAGAAAATCCAAGGACAGTTTTTAGATTTACCCTCTCCCAAGATAATCTATTTTTTTAACTTTTTTTTCTATTTTATTTATTTTAGAGAGAGAGAGAGAGCATGAAAGCAGAAAAGAAGCGCACAGGGAGAGAGAAAGAATCTTAAGCAGACTCCACACTAGCATGGAGCCCCAATGTGGGGCTCGATCCCACAACCCTGGGGTTATGACCTGAGCCAAAAATCAAGAGTCAGATGTTCAACTGACTGAGTCACCTAGGCACACAGAGATTCTTTATACACCATTCCATATACCAGATCATCCGCCAGCCTCGGAATGGTTTCAACAGAAACCAACTCACTAGTTGAAAAGTCAATCTACTTATTTGTTGAACAGCTCTAGAGATCAGAAAGAACATCTCTATTCTTAGCTGAAACATATCTCCAGTCATAATTTAAAACTCCCAGTCACTGGTTCTCATTCTGCCCACTAAAGTAACAAAGGACAAAACACCTTTGTTATCTATCAGTTCAATATTTGCACACAGCTATAACATCCTGCCTATAATTTCTCTTCTTCCAGTTTATTTTTTTTAATGTTTTATTCATTTCTGAAAGAGAGACACACACACAGTGTGAGCAGGGGAGGGTCAGAAAGAGAGGGAGATATAGAATCTGAAGCAGGCTCCAGGCTCTGAGCTAGCTGTCAGCACAGAGCCTGACACGGGGCACGAATCCATGAACCATGAGATCATGACCCGAGCCGAAGTCGGATGCTTAACCGACTGAGCCACACAGGTGACCCTCTTCTTCTAGTTTAAATACCCTACTTCCTCTAACCAGTACCACATGACAATTTTCAGACCCACCCTTCAGTGGAACACACTCTGGCACATCCTAATAACAGTTATAAAAACTGAACCCAGTCCTCCAACTGAGATTAGAGTCACAGAAAATAAAGGCGCTAGGGCTGAATGGGAACCTATCACCTGGCTATAGCTACTTCCCTTACTGGCCAAGTCAGCATTGCATTTGATGGGATGTCCGTCCTACAAAGTAGTTCATTTACTGGATGAAGGGAAGCAACATCTATACTTCTAAAAGCTGGATATAAGTTCCTGCAGCAACTCTAAGTTCAAAGTATAGTGATATAAGTGGAGCTCTGACTGACCATCTGAGATGTGCATTCTGGTCATGACCTGGTTACTAACTTGCTGTGGGACTTTGGTGAAAATGCCTAATTTCTATACATATTAGATACCTATAAAATGGATACCATCAACCCTATCTACTTTACAAGGATATCAAAAGACTAAAAAGTAAGATAAAATACATGAAAATATTTTGAAAAAGAAAAGCATTATACAAACATACTTATCATGATTATTTAGGGAGATAACATCAGATTCAGAGATGACCTACTGTAATTGATTCTTCTATAGGAAATGCGTGAAGCTTTCGAGCAGGAGGCCAAGCAGATAAACAAGCCCAGGCTGATGGTCACTGCTGCAGTAGCTGCCGGCATCTCCAACATCCAGTCTGGCTATGAGATCCCCCAGCTGTCCCAGTGAGTGACTCACCCAGCCCTCAAACTCCTGTAGCTCTGTCTTTTGCAAGATAGACTTGTCCTTAGTCTGGCTTGTTCTTCAGGTGTCCTGTTTAGGAGGCTTTGGAAGTGGTCTCGTTTGCCTGCATGTGTGTGGGAAATGACAGTCAGAAATGGTTTTAAATCCCTTACCGCACCCCAGGTACCTGGACTACATCCACGTCATGACCTATGACCTCCATGGCTCCTGGGAGGGCTACACTGGAGAGAACAGCCCCCTGTACAAATACCCTACTAACACTGGCAGCAATGCCTACCTCAATGTGGTAAGTCTCTGCACACATGTGCATGAAGACCAGCGATGAGGTTGTAAATCACATGGAGATGTGGGGATAAAGAAAATTCTGCAAATGTCTCACTTGGATAACTATCCTCCTTCATGGCTGATCACATCCCATTAACTAGGATTTCATCAAAATGTTTTGAAAAAATACTACCTATCTGTCATTAACCTTGTACAATTTGGCCTGTTAGAACAGTGGACTAAAGTCACTAAGCATTGGGTCATCAGCTGGGTGGAGCCTCTAGCTAACCCGCTGCCATTGCAGGATTACGTCATGAACTACTGGAAGGAAAATGGGGCCCCAGCCGAAAAGCTCATCGTTGGATTCCCCGCCTATGGGCACACCTTCATCCTGAGTGACCCGTCCAACACCGGCATTGGTGCCCCCACCTCGGGCGCTGGTCCTGCTGGGCCCTACACCAGGCAGTCTGGGTTCTGGGCCTACTATGAGGTAGGCAGACTGGGCTGTACAATGGAAATTCTGTGAATTCCATGCCCTGTGCTGAACAGTAGTCTTAGGGCTAGAATCTGCAGAAATCTTGAGTGCTCATTCTGTCCACTACTTATCTAACTTAAAACAAAGCTATCACTCTAAATGCTTCCAGTGGTTACATAATCAGCCCATTTACCTAATCCAGTATGAAGAGCACTTATTTTTTTGTTTTTAGAGTTTTAAAAAAATATTTATTTTTTGGGGCGCCTGGGTGGCTCAGTTGGTTAAGCATTCGACTTCGGCTCAGGTCAGATCTCATGGTTCATGGGTTCGAGCCCCGCATCAGGCTCTGTGCTGACAGCTCAGAGCCTGGAGCCTGTTTCAGATTCTGTGTCTCCCTCTCTCTCTGCCCCTCCCCCCCACATGTTCTGTGTCTCTCTGTCTCAAAAATAAATAAACTATAAAAAAAAAGTTAAAAAAAATTATTTTTGAGAGAGAGCAAGCATGCACAGATGGGGGAGGGCCAGAGAAAGAGGGGGACTGGAAGTGGGTTCCATGCTGACAGCAGAGGGCCCAATGGAGGGCTCAAACTCACTAACTTCAAGATCATGACCTGAGGACCTGGCTTAACCAACCAAGCCACCTAGGTGCCCCCAAGAGCACTTATAATGTGCAATATTGCTTCAAGAAATAGACTACAGATTTAAAGTCATTTACATTAGCACATAAGGGAATAAAAGAACTATATGTCTCATATTAATGTGGGCTCCCAAAATCAAGCATTCAGAGTAGGGATAACAGGACTATTTCAAAAGCAATTTGATCTTATTTACTGCAAATAACAACCCATAATTAGAAAACAGAAAAATCAACCAACTGGAGACATGAGAGAAAAACAAAAAACAAAAAATAAAGAGACAAGTGACTATTTTTTCTTTTATGGGAGTCATATTTAAAAGATTTGAACCTCTTGATTTTTTAAAGATCTGTACCTTCCTGAAAAATGGAGCCACTCAGGTCTGGGATGCCCCTCAGGACGTTCCTTACGCCTATCAGGGCAACGAGTGGGTTGGCTATGATAATGTCAAGAGCTTCGGCATCAAGGTAAGGTCAGCCCCTCTACCATGCTGTGGTCTCAGCCCTGAGTTCAGAGAAATGAAATGACCTGGAAATGGTGTCCTCTATCCTTAAACAGGCTCAGTGGCTTAAGGAGAATAATTTTGGAGGTGCCATGGTCTGGGCCATTGACCTTGATGACTTCACAGGCACTTTCTGCAACGAGGGCAAGTTCCCCCTGATCAACACCCTGAAGAAATCCCTTGGGCTGCAGAGTGCAAGTAAGTGACAATAGGAGGATGCCCAGGGTAGACAAATGCTCCTTCTCCAGCTCAAAAGGCAGCTCTAACATCTGCCCACCCCCACTGTCCAGGGACTCACCTCCCATTTCACCTCACTGCTCCTGCCCAGCTGAAACACAGGTGCTGCATTCTTTCCATACCCTTGAACTTCCAGGTCAGGCATGTTATACTGTCATGGCAAACCAGGCCTCCCTGGGTGAGTTTTCCAGGTTGGCTAGGTCTTAAAGGTGTAGAACAGCCTCAAGAAATTAGACTGACCTTCAATATATAAGCATTTACTTTCTATGAACCCCTCCCTCATTAACGGTGTCTTTTATCCCTTCTGGTGATTGAACAAGAAGCCTTCAGTTCTGCTCACGTTTCTAGTCCGTAATTCAGGAGAAATATCATGTCCCTAACTTTTTCGCCCAGATTTTTCTCTTGGAGCTTAACCCAGATCCTAGGAAAGTATTTTGCACATACTGGTGCTCAGTCATTTTTTAAAATGTTTTTGACCTCATAAGGGAAGAGAGAACGTTTTAAAATTAAAACTGGAGTGGCTTGAAATTATAGCTCTTCCTCACTCCTGAGTATGGAGTCATCTTGAAATCTCTTTGCTTGCAGGGATCCAGAGCTAACAGCACTCCACCCCCAGACCTTCCCCTCAGGGTTCCTAGTCTCCTCACCTCAAGGCAGCTCTGGAGGCCGCTTCCAGGTCCACCAATCTGCTCTGTGCTATTTCAGGTTGCACAGCCCCTGCTACACCCAATGCGCCCATAACGGCTCCTCCCAGCAGCGGAAGTGGGACCGGAAGTGGGACCGGAAGTGGGACCGGAAGTGGGAGCGGGAGCAGCTCCTCCGGAAGCAGCCCTGGAGGCAGTTCTGGGGGTAGTGGATTCTGTGCCGGCAAAGCGAACGGCCTCTACCCGGTGGCGAATAACAAAAATGCCTTCTGGCACTGCCAGAATGGAGTCACGTACCAGCAGAATTGCCAGGCGGGGCTTGTCTTTGACCCCAGCTGTGAGTGCTGCAACTGGGCATAAACCAGACCTGCGCCTCCACTCCCGAGGGTTCTGCACAGTCTCCTTTGCTTAGTGCATCTTGCTTCTGTCTAGGGTTCTGCAATAAAAGTAATCAGTCAAAACATGTGTCCTTGGTTTTAAATGATTTGGGTTGAAACCTTTCTAGATGTGAAAATACAAGGCTGCATAGGGGAAGGGGGTGGCGGAAGAGAGTGTGTAAGAAAGTGGGGGAGCCATAACCCCGCAGTCTTCTGTTTGCCTCAGTTGATCTGAGAGAAGGTTGGAGGCTGTCATTACAGGAAATGCTTGAATGTTTGGTGCTGGGATGGGACGAAACAAGAAAATAGCTCTGTAGCCTGGTGACTGTCCTTAGGAAAAAGCCAAAGTGACTGTGAGACTAAGGCACACAGACCTGTGTGGCTTGCTCAAAAAGCAGAAGCAGGGCGCATTCTGTTCACAACTGTTAAGATCCCAAAACTGGTCCAGTACCTCCTAGATTGGCAGCTTTGGGAAGATCTGTGAGGTAGACTCCTTTTGAAATGTCTGCCTAGGGGCACCTGGGTGGCACAGTTGGTTAAGCGTCCACTTTGGCTCAGGTCATGATCTCAAGGTTCGTGGGTTCGATCCCTGTATTGGGCTCTGTGCTGATGGCTCAGATCCTGGAGCCTGCTTCCGATTCTGTTTCCCTCTCTCTCTGCCCTTCCCTGTCTCAAGCTCTGTCTCTCTCTGTCTCAAAAAAAAAAATTTTTTTTTTATTAAAAAAAAAGAAAGGAAGAAATGTCTGCCTAGCCCATGAGATAGCAGTGTCCCTTGATCAGGAGATTGTCTCCTTCTTTGAAACCATAGCAGTGGTCACCAACTGCTGTGCTTACACGGCATGGTCTCCTCCCTCTGCTTGGCTGATTGGCTAGGATGGACATCAGATTCAAGAGGGCCAAACAGATTATCAGCACTTGAAGTCTGCAACAGACAAGGAATGGCTTTCACACCCTGAGAGTGGCTTGTTCTGGGATGTGTAAACTCAGGAGCTATAGTGAGAGACTGCAGAGAAGGGAGGTTGCCCTGGGTATAGAGAAAGAAAACTAGAGGGAAGCTACAGAGAAAAGCCACCATGCCAGATGGAGAACACTTACAGATGGATTTCCACCTTTTGATTCTGGAACCTTCCTGAGATTTAGATGCCTTTCTGCCTTCAGACTCTGGTGAAGCACCCCTGTAACTATATAATAAATTCCTCTTTGCTGCTTAAGCTGGCTTGTTTCTTTTACTGCAATGGAAAGAATCTATAATCACAATATAATGGCTCCGGTTTTTTCTGGCAGGCTAATTGTGTGTCAAACTCTGTTCTAAGTGTTTTAAACATTTTTAAAATGTTTATTTATTTTTGAGAGAGAGAGAGCAGGGGAGGGGCACAGAATCTGAAGCAGGCTCCAGGCTCTAAGCTGTCAGCACAAAGCCTGGACACGGGGCTCAAACCCACAAATTGCGAGATCAATACCTGAGTTGAAGTCAGATGCTTAACCGACTGAGCCAACCAGGCGCCACTCTGTTCCAAGTGTTTGGTTGTATTTTATTATTTAATTCTCCCAGCCACCTTGTGAGGAAGATAACATTAATTCCAGGAAACTGAGGCAGAAAGGTCACCTGCCTAAGATCACAGTTAAGTTGCAGAGCCAGATCCCAAGCCAGGCAGGCTGGCCCCAGAGCTCAGAGTCCTAACTACTGTACTTTACTGCCTCCCTTGATACAGGCTTCAGTGTTCACACAATTGGTGGGCACCTTGGTGGTAGTGATGAGGAACACATAGCTTTCTGGGTAATGACCACATATTCATGAGCTCACAAGACTTATTATATGCGAGGTAATGTTCTAGGTACTAAGGACATAGTGGTAAACAACATAGAGACTCTACCCCTAAGATGATTATACTTTGATGATGTTAGGAAAAAAGTGTAACAGTGATAGACAGTGACAAGGGGCAGAATGTACTTTAATTTGGACAGTCCAGGAAGGCCTCTGTGGGGCAGTCCCATAGGAGATGAGCCTTGACATTCAAGAAGAGATAGGCATTTTGAGATCTGGGAAGAGGGCATTTCAGGCAGAGGTGCAGAAAGTAATGAGTCCTTGAGGTGGAAATGAACATGGCCCATTAGAAGAAAGACCAAGGTTGTGCCAAGGTAGTGGGCAAAGGAAAGAAATAGGCAGGGAGGAGTCAGACCACACAAGGTCTTGCGACATGGTTATAAGTTTGGATTTTATTCTAAGTGAGCTGTGGAGCCATTGGAACTTTATAGCAGGGATGGAGAGGTGGTGATATGCTCTAATTCACTGCTGAGAAGACAGAGCTGGTACAGGGTTATAGAATGTGGGAAAATCACACTCGTGGTAATGACAGCTGATATGTTGACTTCTGAGCGCTTACATGACATGCTTTGGAGATCAAAAACATAAATATGAGAGTGTCCTCCATAAGGAGGTGAAAGCAAAAGTCGGTAAAATTGCAACTACATCTCTAACTAAAAAATTAATGCAATTACATCTCTAACTAAAGAATAAAATCTAGAGCAAAATAGAGCATAGGAATTTGGGCGGTCCTTTTGGAAGAAGTTTCTATTTAGGTCAGTGCTATGGCAAATAACTTGGAGGGCACAGGAGGATGCAAGGAACTGGACTTCGGAAGGACATGAAAGAAGTCACTGACCCTGAGGGAAAGCATCTTTGAACAACACAGTGGCCAGCTGCTAGATCAGAGTGGTTTCCCAGATTAATATCTTTTTCCAGTGCCACTAATTTTTTTTTAAATTAAAAAAAAATCTTTATTTTTGAGAGAGAGAACGAGAGAGAGAGAGAGAGACAGCGTGTGAGCAGGGGAGGAGCAGAGAGAGAGGGAGACACAGAATCTGAAGCAGGCTCTAGGCTCTGAGCTGTCAGCACAGAGCCCGATGCAGGGCTTGAACTCACATAACTCGAGTTTACGACCTGAGTCGAAATTGGACACTTAACTGACTGAGCCACCCAGGTGCCTGTAGCAGAACTGATTTTCAAAGTATGGCCTTTATGGCTCCCTCCTCACCACAAGGTTGCCCTTCAGAAAGCACTGTCACAATGACTTTTGGAGGGCTTCAAGTGGGGCTTGCTGCTTAGCAGCAATCTTAGTCACACCCTTCATGTTCTTGGTTAAAGTCTATTTGTGGGAGTGGTGACTCATGGAGCCCATAAATGAGAGTGGCAAGCTGGCTGAAAGTCCCTCCGATGGGGACATGGGGCCCAGATCTTCTTGGAGATATTCAAAGTCTATGCTATCTGATCCATTTGGGAACATAACAGACAACCAAATCACGTCAGGGACCACCCAGTCATTTCTTTGGAACTTTGCTGATGGTAATCATGTTCTTATGGGAATCTAACTGGAAGGAGATGGTTTATGCATGGCATGATCTAAAAGCCCTGATCCAGGCAGGGATGGGGCAGTGTTCCTCTCACCGACTCCTAAGCTTTGATAAAAGATGGCACCCATTCAGATGAAAAGGCAACTATTTTTTTTTTTAATTTGCACAAGGTACAGTTGGCTGTAGCCCTGGGCGTGGAGGTGGTCAATTAGAAGTGCATTAACATCTGTTAACTAACAATTATAGGTCAGTCATTTGCTGTGTAAGATGTGTCCTGTGTTATCTCTTAAATTCTCATGGCAGCCTTAAGAGGCAAGAAATGATTAGTGCCATTTTATGGACGAACCAAGTCTAAGTAACTTCCCAAAGCCATGTAGCCAGTAAATGATATACTAGTACCTATCAGAAACCAGTTCTGAGAGTCTCAAAGCTTATGTTCATCCCTCTACTACCAGTTGAGAAAGACTGGTGCTTAAGAAAGTCTGGAAATTGGATTTAGAAAGTCTATTTTCCTCTCCTCCTCTACCTTCTGGAGACCCATCCATTCTCCAGCAGAATCCCTATTCACTGGATCAGGGGTTCTCAATCCTATTTGGACCCAAGTCCCACCTTGAGTAACAAATTATTTTATAACACCACCCGTTTAATATCCTCAAATTAAATTCATGAATAGCACAACTTAGCACATGTAATTTCATAAATAACACGATGCCATAATCATGGAGGAGAAAAATAATTTCCAATAAAACAATATGCATTTCAATATATAAATGCCCAGATATAACTACTTTATAAGACAATGAAGTGGTCAGGCTTTTGCACCATCTGATAAATAATGAATAAGTCCAGAATTAGGAAAGAAGGCTAAATGCCATTCATATAAGCAGTTTAGGAAAATAAATAAAGCAGATTTGTAAGTAGAGGCCAGAATAAAAACTTGTTAGGAAAAGTAATAACACTCCAGACTTACTGGTTCCTGATAATAGTGAGAAGTGAACAGCTTTAGTTAACATAGGGATAATACTTGACAAATTGAACTACTGAAGTAAAAAAGGAAAAAGGGTATGACTATGCTATTTTTGAAAAGAAGTAAGTAAGGAATGTTCACATGCTTCCTCTAGGATTGCCAGATTTTTTAAAATATAGTTTTATTGGTCTATCATGCATTCCAAAAAAGGCCCAAATCATAACTGAACACATTCACAAGACATGCAGGGTGAACTCCTCAGTGTAAGCAGTACTCAGGTCAGAAAGGGAACACCACTGGGGCGCCTGAGTGGCTCAGTCAGTTAAGCCTCTGACTTCGGCTCAGGTTATGATCTCACAGTTCCTGGGTTCGAGCCCTGCGTCAGGCTCTGTGCTGACAGCTCAGGGCCTGGAGCCTGCTTCCGATTCTGTGTCTCCCTCTTTCTCTGCCCCTCCCCTGCTCACACTCTGTCTCTCTCTCTCAAAAATAAGCATTAAAATAAATAAATAAGTAAATAAATAAGAAGAAATGGAACACTGTTATCACTCCAGAAGCCCTCTTCATACCCCCTTTCTGTTATTCCATCCACCCTCCTTTAAAAGGCACCTCCGCCCTAACTTCTAACACATAAATTAATTTTGCCTGTTTTTGAATTTATGTAAATG